TGTTATGATGAATATCACATTATGGTGGATGTCTACTCTTCTTCCATGATCTTTAGCTAAAATGCTTAATGACATATTCAATGACATAATTTGTATGTTCAATGACATATTCCATGACATATTTTCTTCACTTTTTATGCCTATATAAAGGCCTTGTAATAGATAGGAAAAATACACAATTGAAGAAGAAATAAGAATCTATCTTCCTCTCTTTCTCTCTATATCTCTTAGTTTGTTTTTGCTTGTTCTATATTGTTATTTTGGGTTATATTTCATAACAATATTAGTATTTTTATTAATTTGTTTTAAAAATGCAGAAGATTATGCACCCCTTTTTTCCCCAACAAGCGGAGAGAAGGGGGAAACTTACATTCAAGACATTGAGCACTTTGAAGATAGCTCGGACCCCATAATTGATGCTTTGAAAGATAAGTTGGTCATGGTAACAACCATAAGAATGAAGAAAGTTGGTAGTGGAGAGTCTTTAGAGAGTTGGTCATGTTGAGAGAGATGGTGTTGGGCAAAATGATGTTAGATATTGGCGAGAAGAGAGCTACTAGTCCATGTGGACTTTGATATTTGCAGTTATGTTGGAAGGGTAAGAGGAGGAGATTCCTATGCAGTTGATATTGGTAGGGAAGGAGATTCATCTGGAGTGACCAAAATGGCAAATTTGGGTACCTCCAAGGTTCCCTGGTGACGTGAAAGCAAAAAATGTTATGATAAGCATAATGCCCTAACGGAGGCAATGAATTCCTTGTCAAGCAAGTTGGAGGGGCTCCTGCCTATGAGCACTATAATACTGAGGTATGCAAGACAATTTCCTTGTACTCCTGGGTTCGTAAGAAAACTGACCATGAGTATCAAGACTAAGAATGCTAGGGCAAAGAGGATTGGCCATCCTCGAATTGTGGCCCAAACTACTCAAGAAAAGCGGGATGTTCAACCATATACTAAATGGCACTTCCAAAATTTAGTTGTGCATGAGGTTGTTTTTTGTACTGGTTTGGTTTAATGGACAATTAGTTACTTAAGATAGTTACTTTTGAGTTAATAGACAATTAGTTACTGTGTAGGTTTATCAACTAGATGTGTATATATTGATTTTTCATTCTACTTTCTTCTCTTTACACTCTCACCATACATTAGGTCTATAAAAATAGTAAAAATAGTTTTGTTCCGGGAACAATTGTTTTAGTTGTCCCAACAACTACTTTAATTACTACGACAATTTATGTAGTTGCTTAACAACTACTTCAGTTGTCCCATCAACTGCTTCAGTTGTTCCAGCAATTTTTCTAGTTGTCCCAAGTACATCAATTGTTCGATCAATTTTTGTAGTTGTCCCAACAATTCTTAACTAATTCATAGAATCGGTGTCATTACGTTTATTCTTAATAATTCATAGAATAGCTCTAGGTGATCATCAATTGTCATCAAATTACTTCATTTATGTGTAATAATTGATAGAATCACTCGATCGATCTTCAATTGTTATTGAATCACTACCTTTATCCTTAATAATAATAGAATCACTCTATCAATCTTCAATTATAACTGAACCATTATGTTTATCTTTACTAATAATATAATTCATAGTATGGCTCAATTTTTTGAGCAATTAAACAGTATGTTGTTTTCTTTCTAGCCATAGTATGGCTCAATTTATCATCAATTTTCATTAAATTTATCGTTATAGGATATAGATTCATCAAACAACTTGAAAATTACTAAATAACTTGATTACTTATCGCTAGATTTGCTACAACTCTTTAGTTGTCTCACAACAACCAACAACTGTCTCACAACTTTAGTAGTTATATGGACAACTTCTGTAATTGCCCAATTATTTCTTCCAACAACTACAGAAGTTGTTCCATAACTGCAATAGTTGTCCAGCAACTGTTGTCAGACAACTGTATTAGTTGTTGCGAGAACTTTTGTATTTGTCAGACATATGTTCAATTATTTCTTCCAACTTCAAAAGTTGTTCAGACAACTAAGAAAGTTGTTGAAGATATCCAACTGTTTCTTCGAACAACTTCAGTAGTTGTTCCGACAACTACGAAAGTTGTTGGCTAAAACTACGAAGTTGGTTTCACTAATTCACTCCAGCTAAAAAATGGACACAAATTTATCTTTTTTCACTTACCAATAGACAATAAATGGTCCTCTAAAGTAATTCCCAACTCAAGAACTAACCAAATACAGTCCAAAAAAGACCCAACAATATTTTGAAACTCTTTTACAACAAAAATTATTCTCCACAAATCTACTCAACAAAAACACACATGCAATTGCAAATATACTATTGAAAAACATTTTGGGAGACTAGACTCCTAAAGAAGAGCAGGAGGAGGATAGGAGAAGGAGCAGCACTGGTGGCTATGAGCAATGAGAAGAAGAAGGCTGCGAAGGGTTTTTGCCTTTTTTGTTAATTTTTAATTATTTTGAGGTAATAAATATAGAGGCCAAAGTGTAAAAAAAAAGTTTGAGGGTTACTGAAAGAAGGTTCCTAATGAGTTTCAACCTCCATAACACTAATTACCTACTTGTCACTCCCACCCAATTTTTAAAACTTGAAGGACCCTCACTCAATTGCCAAACTCTTTTGTCATTTTCAATTAAAAGCCCCAAGCCAAACTACAATGAATTACATTTGAAACATCATTATGCATACATGATACTTTACCCACTTAGAATGTTCTTTATGGGACTCAATCAATTGGGTATTGGCAGGACAATTCATCTGATATACAATCTGTTTTTGTTTTGTGTAGAGCAGTGCGGTTGAAGTTCTAGCAATGAGACACAGCCAACCGGCCAAGCAACACATGAAACTGCAAGTTCACCCAAATAATCTAGCATGAAAGGAAACAACAAGCAGCTGACGGAAGATTCAATTTGACCCCTTGAGTGGCTAAAAGGAGAAACCCTCCAGTATATTTATGCCAATATTTTGTAAGGAGAAGCATTAAATGCCACTAAAACAATTATGAAGAAACTATAAAAAAAGGGCAACACGGTGCACAAGGCATCTCGCGTTCACGCGTCCGAGGAAGGGTTGCACCCCAAGGATAATATGATGTAAACAACCTACCCTAATGCAAGCATTAGTGGCTTCTTCCATGGCTCGAACCTATGACCTATAGGTCACACGGCACAACTTTATCGTTGCTCCAAAGCTCCCCTTCGATAAAGAAACTATACGAGAAGTTAACAAATTAAGATTTGTATCTAAAAGACCTAGTATGTTTATAGCATGTGCAGAATTAGAACTTGCATACCTTGAAATTAAACAATATTCGAAAGAGATGAATATCATACCAAGTTTTCAAAAGCTTCATTGTTGAGAAACTGCATTACACCGGTGTTCATAATATCCCTCAAAGGAACTTAATAATTTTATTATGTATTCATAGACCTTAATCCCCTCCAAGTAAACAGTATCCTTGAGGAACTGCCAGGAGAACAAATGATTGGCATCAGAGAGAAACAAGTGTTTATCGACTTGTCATAAATAGAAGCAGCGACAAACCTCATTGTGGTCATGCAGTAATATGGGGGTGTTCTTCATAGGGGAGAAACCAAAGGTGGGAATTCCCAGTCGTCTCATGAATCGAGCATCAGTTGTCGATGCTAATATTTCAGGCTTGGAGAGTTTTCTCCCAGCTCTAGTAACAGCTTCATTAAAAACAGACCACCAAGGGTTGGAGTCGGAAGTGAGTGTCATCAAAGGACATCCCATGTTGTCCCTCAGGAATCCTTTCTCGGTTATCTGCCATATTACAAGAAGCCTGAGAATCAGAAAACCAAAAGTACACCATCTTGTCCATTTTTTGTGTTTAGTATACAAATAAAATATCACCCAAATGCAAACTTCTTAAAAACTGGTGTGTAACGCATAAGAATGGGAATGGGGAAAAAACATAAGCTTCATCTACCAAACCACGAACCCCAACTATTATTTACATTGGAAATGATGTCTCTACTCAAAATTAACTGATATACTATCTATTTAGAGTTGTCCCACAAGCAAACGTTTCTTTTAAATAAATACAGCTGTCCAGCGGAATGACTATAGATGATTCATATTGATGCATAATTGATTGATTGATAAATAGAGTTGTCCCAATTGTGACAACTTCCTAAAAGAAAAAGTTTTTCATTACACGATCCGGCACTTTTTGATATCATACGATCAGAAAGGTATAATGGCGCTCAATTTAAAGAGAGCAATCTTGGAACAGCTTCAGAAATACAAGAATCAGACAATCGGAGCTAAACATATAATCTTAAACTCTTAGTTATCTCTGGATTTCCAGTCAGATTAATCCTGCTTTGTGATTTCCAACCAAACCTTTCTTCTCTGATCCTTCCTCTTCCCAAAACCCTCTCTCTTCTTAACATGTCTCCCACAGCAGAAACACTTTTACTTGTCATCTTTAAGTCCAGATTGGCAAAATGTAATTGATCATATAGTAGCAGCTATGACGACGTGGAGTGTCATCAATTTAAAACTAGTGTAAAATCCATTTTAGATGGAAAAGAATGCCTTCTTCTCAGCTGGGGAAAAATCATATGAAATCATTGGGGAAAAAAGGGAATGTCAATCCACGTGGTTTGAATGGATGCAAAGAAGGAATTCTTTGTTAGTAGAATTAGAGTTGAAAGCAACAGATTTTTGTGGATCTGCAAAAGTATTGATGAAAGCATCTGAAGAACCAGAGAGATCTCCTTTGGAAATAGAGCAAATGGGAACAACTATATGAACGTTACATCATCCAAAACTACAATGAATGTGGAGGATTCAGTAGAAACACTATATTAGAAAGGAGGACAAGATTGATCATAATCAAACCCCGGAGCAGACCATTGCCAACAAATTGATGAAATTCAAGAAGGAATTTCTTCTTCAATATAACCTTCCCCTATTATCACTTCAGAATCTTGTTCATTGTCGGATTCATGTCGATTCAGATTGATATTTGGGTATTGTATTACCTCTTTCTTTTTCTCCCTCTTATCAGTCCAGAAATTATCCAGAAAAAGCCACACTGAATAGATGGTAGGAAACAAGTTCAGCAGTGCAAAAACATTCAACAGGCGGAACCCCTTTGTAGACGTGAACAAGCAATCTCTAAAATCAAGAAAAGACTTTCTAGCAAAGTGTGGGCAATTTGGTGAACTGGTGGCAGAAGGAACAAGAAAACATAGTAGAGCAATGGATACAATCAAATAGGAACATCTACGGGACAAGCGTTTCTTACTTTTGTTCAAGTTCCCGTCGGAAACAGTTTAAGGACCTCAAGCTTCACTTGAACTAGTGGTCTACAACCACCACTTGCCACACTTAGCTCCCGTTTGGACATAGATTTTTTTTACTTTTAGTCAAAGAAAATTTTGAAAACATTGCCTGTTCATGGAATTTGATCAGTTCTTGAAAAAAATTTATAAAATTTCCAAAACTGGTTTGGATCAGTTTTTGGGCGAAATTTTTTCTTCCACTCACAAAACTTCATCCTTTTTATATGTAAAAAGTAAAATACATGTCCAAACACAACTTCAACTTCCAAATACTATTTTTCAACACAACTTCAAAAAAAAAAAAAAAAAAAAAAAAAAAAAAAAAAAAAAAAAAATCAACCAAATCTATGTCCAAAGGCTTACTTAGTATCTAGTCCATTACTCCATATCATATTGTGTCAACACAACCCATTATGTTTCCCCGCGCATACATCATTTTCCAACTCTTTCATATATTGGACCATGCCAAGAAGTCACTGGGAGTATGCTCTACAGATTTACTGAGACAGTGGCCTCAAGTTGTGATCCCTCTGACTGACCAGACATAGTGGATTCCTTTTTGTTCATTTGCCAGCTCTGCACTTTGTCTCTTCTGCTGCTTTTCCACTTCATTCTTCTCAGATTCAATCTTCTGAATTGCTTGCTTGAGTCTTTGCTTGACTCTTTGCCCTTGTCTAATCTTCTCTAAGTTAGGTAGTCGCTATTAGTTGGTTCAGCTTCTCTTACCCCTTGTTGACAACCCGCTGGTCTTTGACAATATTAACCTTAGGCTTGATCATCTTCCTCAGCTTCTCTTGAATCTTATCAGTGACAAAGATACAGAGACCTGAGACTCCTTTGTAGATGTTGATATCCAATAAGCACTTCTTCTAGTTTAGACCCAATCTTGCATAAATGGAGACTTGGGAGGACAGGAACTTTCTTGCTTTTCTTGTTTGGACGGCAGTTCTTGTCAGCAGTGATGTTCTTTCAAATGATAGAGTTTCTTCGTGAAGCATGGTTCGTTCCTGTCCGCCTGGTTCCACTGATTCTTTTAAGGTGGTGTTCTGCACTTGCGACCCCTTTGGAGATATCGGTCTCTTCTGTGAAGCTGCCACACGAGCACATCTTGCTGAGAATTGGGAGCAGTATTGGTAATGGCTACCATATTATCAAATACTGGCAAGAAAGTATCAACACCAGTCACCATATGTTAAATAGAATGAACATGCATCATCATTGATTGCTTTTCAGCTAGCATCGCGAAAGACGACGCGGTTATTGCTAATATGAGTTTCGCTTGCAATACTGCCTGTTCTTCGATTCTTCAACTGATGGATGTTTGGATGATTCTGGAAGTCTGATCTGCTTATCCTTAAGAAAATAGTCAAACATCAAGTTAGCTTTAGAAGTATCAATCATGTAGCTTTCTTTGTTCTCAATCTTCACCAACTCCTTAGCTTTTCACAACTTGAGAGCAAAACAAGAATATGGTTTTTCTCATATGTTTCGACAGCATGAACCTAAGCAGACTACTTCTCCTCATAATCAGTAGGCTTGGCCAGTCCACTTAATTTATGATGGACACGAGATAAGGACCTTTTCCTCTGCTGGCTCTTCATTGCTTCTCGCCAAGAATGAATTGCTACACCTTTGTAGCTTTGGTGACCAGCTAAGTAAGAGCCACGAACTCCTACGCTATGAGTATTTCTTTGAACCCAGGGATGAAAGTTGGCAACATATAATGCATACTGAGATTTCGGGAATTGTATGTTGCATCTAGTGCGCATCTTCTGATATCTCTCCAGGAAAGCAACAACAGATTCATCAACCTACTGTAATAACCAGTCATGGAACATTCTCTCCATGTCAGCCCACCTTTGAGCTGATTTGGTAGGCAACGAAAAGTACTAGGCAAAGATGGTTTTTGTCCACAACAAGGGGAAGAGCATATTATGCCCTTATTTATGTGCAACCTCCCCCCGCATTCAGCAATAAATGCCGATGCGATCTTCGGTAGATGTTTTATCTTCTCAGGAAAAAAATGACAAATCTTGGATGTTTGAAACCTCTTGGAAGAGGCACATCCGTCAATCCAGTAAGAACAGGTACAGAAATTTGTCTACTGGCTTCAAGTTAATTCCAAAATGTATCATCATTTTGACCGGTGCACTTAGAATGTAGAGTTGTAAAATTGCTGGCTCATCTGCTCAGATGCAGGATTTGGCATAAAGGTTGCCGAAGGCTGGGTTGGTCATGGTTATGCATTGGCTTGCCAGGCCAGCGTGGGTAGAAATATGGCTGATTTGGAACAACCCGTGTCTGCTTTCCTAAGTGATTTTCTGATATAGGCAAATCCCAAGTACGGATGATGTTTGACACGTTATTAAAGATCTGCTGATAAAGGAAACCTCCGACTTATGGATCTGAAAGAAAAGGGGTTGTAGGTAAGGCAAAATTACCTGTTGAATTAGTAAGCTTCTTAGCCAAGTTGACTTGACTGAACTGAAGATTAGATTGTGACACTGGGTAACTGTTTCCATATAAAAAGTATAGTCAGTAGGAGCTAACAATGCTTAATTTGCCATCTAAGCCGCGAAACTTGATGGAATCAATCGCCCTCCCCGACATTCATGTTCCCCTGCTAAGGAGTCATCCTGAACCGAGGCCTTGGTAGGTCTAAACCGATTGGTAATTAAAGTTGGTCATAGATTGATCTTCTTGTTGTCTTGCCACCATAAGCATTTAGTCTCGAGAAAAGTGGACCTCAATTTGCACTACAGGTTTCTACTTTACCAATAGGTTGGGGGAACTAGTGAATCATGTCATTAATATATGTTAAGAATATCGATCTTCGACCTAACTCAACCCCAAAAGTTAGCTTATAAGTTGAGGATTGCCCAAGATCATATAAGGAGATTCATTTTTTAATTCCCAACAAATGTTGGACTCAACACACCTTGTGCGACCAGTACTGTACATCTGGAACGAGAACAATATAAGATGGGGGCCCAACATCCGGTTAACAATGAATTGAGATAAACCTAGCTCGGATACCATTTTAAGAAAATGGACCTTCAGCCTAACTCAACTTTAAAAGTTAGCTCATGAGATGAAGATTGCCTAAGATCATATAAAGAGAACCATTTTTTAATTCCCACCTTATGTAGGACTCAACAATATCCATGTCGATTTCTCTTGTATGAATTATGTGTTTATTATCATGGGAGGTGAACCAAAATATCCTTCATTTGGAACCATGATAGGTTGATGTCGGTTGGAGGAGCTTATGCCAATGTAGTTGTACCTTGCAATTTATCATATGTTTGAGTGGGAGAACCATGAGTTACAGTCCTTTTTCCCGGGATGTTTCCCTATGCTGAGAAGATTCTTGCCCCCATTATAGTTCATGCACAAGTGAAATCAAATCCTAAAAGAGTAAGCTTTGAAAACTATAGAAAAAAGAGCATACCAAAAAATATTGTTGGCTTAAACTAAGTTGCTCGGACTCTTCACTTTTGGTGCCGCACCCGTATCAACACGACATGGGTGTGGGTGTGGGATGTGGAATCCAAAGCGGATCTGATCAATCGATTTTGGGTACTTTGACCAAAATCGATGGAGAAATTTTCAATAGATACAATGATTTCTGAAATCAAAATAAAAGTTAGAGTGAAATTGAAGGAAATGGTGTATGAAGAAATTTATATGTCCGGCATTCTCCTTTTATCTTCTCAGAATACATTATAAGGTTTCCACATAATGTCTCGTAAGTAGGACATATTTTTATAACTCTATTTTTAGACATTTGAATTATTTTTAGCCGAATTCCCGCACCCGCAATTGGATTCGTACCCCGGATCTTAAAATTTAGATCATGAAGGATCCGACCTCTAGATTTGCACCCGTATTGGATACCTGCACCCGAGTCCGAGCAATTTAGGGCTTAAAAAATAAACGGATTTCTCGAGCTAGATGAACAATGGAAGCCGAATTTGCCAAGCAATGATCCCCAAAATGGAAGTCAAACGAGTAACGTTGAGGAGGGGATTTTGCCATTTGCCAATCATATAAAAGAGGAACTTCGCTAAGATTAATCTAAGAAGAAGACATCTACCTTATCAACCAAAAAAGAAAAGGAAACATCTACTGACATTGTAAGAAAAGTTGTAAGAAAAAAAGAAGAGATGATTAAAGGAATTTGAAGGAAATGAATATAAGTTTATTAATTGCCGTAATGATTGTGATGATGTCCATCCATGCATAGAAAGACCCTGCTTATACATATAAGGCCGAGCATAACTTCCTAATCGTGCATTTTATTTTTATCTCTAAAATCTAGGCACGATCTTGATGATGCAAGAGTGGTTTACTGCTCATTCGGTTGTTCTCATTGCATGTGCACTAACCTTATTGTCCCATGTTCAATCAGCGTAGCGTTGTTTAGTATTCTACGAGAAAATAGTTACTTAACTGAGTCATTACATGATAAACCTTGTACAACTTGGTTGACAAATAAACTCCTTTGATTATTTCGAGAAGTGGAAGCTTGATTCTTCAGGTTTTGAGCTGATGGATATGTCATATAATCAGTTACTCCTTGGATTTGATCCACTTTTTGTAGACATCCAGCTTGCTTCCCTTAGTAGGCTTTGGCCATAGATACAAAAAAAAATGAAAAAGATTTTTTGAAATTGAGTTAAAAAATTGTATTTGGAAGTTGAAGTTGTGTTTCGATAACTTTAAAAAAGTTCATATTTTGTTGGAGGAGAAAATTGATTTTTTGAAAAATCTTGAAACTTTTTTACCACTTTTTGATTTTTCTAAAACTTTTTTTTCAAAAAATCTCCAAATTTTGGTGTTAACAACAGTCAATCTGCTGCTATGTCTTTGTAAGATTTCTATTTGCCACCTTCAAATGGATATCGATAGTTCAAAGAGCAGGGAGAGCTTCTTTCTGGAAATTTATTGAGAAGAGACTAAAGCACCCACTAAAGTCACCCACTTATAATATTCCATTTTATTCAGAATGTTGAAATTGGCCTTCTTTGGTCTCATAAAATCCTCTAAAGGACATTGTAATTAGTACGCTCCTAAACCAAAGCATTGAAGCTATTCCTTTTCTAAGAGAAATGACATACAACAACAACAACCCAGTGTAAACCCACAAGTGGGGTCTGGGGAGCGTAATATGTACGCAGACCTTACCTCTATCCCGAGGGGCAGAGAGGCTGTTTCCAGGAGACCCTCGGCTCAAAGAGGCAACAAGAGACACTATATTAGTACTATCAATAGACTCATAATAAAACAACATAAAGTACCATAANAACAACAACAACAACAACAACAACCCAGTGTAATCCCACAAGTGGGGTCTGGGGAGGGTAATATGTACGCAGACCTTACCTCTACCCCGAGGGGCAGAGAGGCTGTTTCCAGGAGACCCTCGGCTCAAAGAGGCAACAAGAGACACTATATTAGTACTATCAATAGACTCATAATAAAACAACATAAAGTACCATAAAATCCATAACATAACATAAATACCATAAATCCTTTTTTGGAACACAGCAGCATCAAATTACCTAAATCCTTGAGAAGTGAGAACCACTAATAGTCCGTTGATTCATGAAAGTACTTCCTTTGATTCACTGCACAAGATAGTCTTGTGATATCTCTCGCTCTCATTGCCTAATTTTCCCTCTTTTTTGGAGTTCACTAATGAGTTTTGTCTCTTCAATTAAGGCAACAACAGAAACCTACTTGCTGATATTACCAACTTATTTAAACTGCTATTCAAATATTTCAGTATACTATTGATATACCTCAAAATTTTCCGAACAGTTCTGGAAAGATAGGAGCACTATCATTTTTAATCTAAAGCCGAAAGATATGCTAAGGTCTGCAAACTAACAACGATAAGCACAAAGAAAAAGTAACTATTCACCTCATATGTCATGTTCCTCCAAGCTGGTGCCCATTGCTCTTCAATTATCTTCCTCATAATTTGTGGATCAGCCGTTGGTGGCATCCTAATATCAAATCCTGCCTCAGCTTCAGAGGGTTGCATGTTCATTACAAATCCCTGTGCAAGCAAATCAGAAGGCCTCCATAAATCATAAATCCTAATTAAAGAACAAAAATATAAGCAGAACCATAAACAACTAGGAAATATAAGCCCAGTAAACCATAAGCCAATGTTGCCTAATACATAGAAAGCTGTTAATGGAACAGGAACAAGTTCATAATTCGTAACTTAAACTTAAAAGTTATTCCCTATTGGTAGGTTTCTCTAGATCATACTTCAATATACTTTAGAAACCTCAAAATCTTTTAAGCTAAACAGAACTTGAAAGACTAATCACCAAGAAACTATTATTGGCATCACATACTTCTTAATTGAATTGGAAAGAGAAACAATAATAATTCGGATGACTACATTTAGCATTCCGAATTACTACAGTATCATTTCCCAAATGACAGTAGGCTTTAAGATATGGGCTCGGCAGAACAAAGTAACTTTGGCCCAAACTCTGTAATAAGAAATGCACTAAATATGTACAAAAATTAGCTCAGAACACAGCACTTGAGATTGCTGTCCTAGAATCCAGAACCCATAAAATTCAAATCTTAGATCCGCCCCTCATAGACCCCATTCAACAGGAGCTTGAAAAACAACACAACTCAAAAGATCAAACTCAATCGAAAATTCAAAAACTCACAGTTGGGGAAGGAATTCCAGCCTTGAGAAACACTGGATTCACAGAAATGACTTCAGAATTAGCAGCCAATCCAGCCTTGACTATATCAAACTTAGACTCCCTAAACTTAGTAATAACCTCAATACTCTTCATCAAATTCTCCATAGCAGTATTATCATACAATCTAGAGCCGTGTCCAGGTGTTCCAACAGCCTTAATCACCATATGCCAAGGTGTCCTATCAGCATAAAACACCCTAAACTCATCATTAGTTGAAGCCTGTCCCTCATCCATCACAAACCCAACATTTAACTCTTTAAACTCTTTAGTCTCCACAAACTTCCCCATCCCATCAAACCCACCCACCTCCTCCTCGGGCACGTATAAAATATGAACATTTCTTAAAGGTTTAAACTCGGGATCTTTGCTCTGTATCGCTTTGATTGCCTCCAAATACTGCATGCCAATACACTTATCGTCCTGGGCCCCACGTGCAAAGATTCTTCCATCGGAAGTTTTATGAGCCGAAAAGGGTGGGTGGGTCCACTTTTCGGGCTCGGCGGGGACGGAGTCGAGATGGGAGTTGAAAAGAATGGAGGGGAGTGAAGGGTTGGAGGTACCGGGCCAGGTTAATAATAGGAGGGGTATGGTGGGGGTTAGGTGCAGAACTTTGGAGTGGAGGTTTGGGATAGAGTTGGCGAAGTTGATGAGGTAAGTGATGGGAGAAGTGTAGTTTGGATTAGGGTGGGCAGTGTTGATTCTGAGGTAATTTTGGAAACGGGAAATGGGTGTGTCTGATTCGGAGGCAGAGATAGCGGAGAGTGAGAGGAAGAACAAGAGGAGTGGGATACGGTGGAGGGGATTGAACATGGTGAATGCCTCTCTGATAGAAGAGCTTTGAGTGTTATGTTGAGGGGATCTATATTTTGAGACTTTTAAAAACTGAGAGGTCGTTTGGTAGGGTATCCATTAGCTATTACTAATGCTTTGTTTGGTACACTTTTTCAACCTATGTATAACTAATAAAAGCATTAGTTATTCACTCTATTTAGTATTATCTTATGCATAGAAAACCGTGGCATTAGCTATACAAAGGCTATTAATGCATGCATTAGTATGGTTAAAGATAAAATTATCCTTAAAGTCCCTTAAGTTAAAGAATATGGATGACATTTTTGTAAACAATTAAATTTCTTAAAAATTATGCAATGCATTTTAATTTTTAATACACCACACCAAACAATGCATAAGAAATAATCTTTGTATAACTAATGTTTGCATTACTAACCCATGCATTACTAACCTCTGCATTACTAATGCACCTTATTTAGCATTATTCTTATACGTCCTACCAAACGACCCCTTATAGTGTTAATATTTAAACAAAAGTGTTAAGATTGTTGTTAAAAAGATATTTTTATTTTGGGTATTATCACTTTTAGTCCGTGCCAGAAACTATTTATATTCATTAACCGAAAAAGTGTATAAATTTTTTATA